AAAGGAAGAGCAAAACTTGGATTGGTTAATAGTTGCATAGCAGGATTTTCCATTAGTTTGTTGCCTGAATGCAACTGTTTCTTTAATTTTCTTGTCAGAATCTTCTTTCCTTGTTTTCTTGAGGCAGGTGCAAGCTTGTTTTATGTTTGTTAGACCTTTCATAAGATCAATTCTCTTCTATTCTACTATTAGAATCTATCTGAACTAGTTGCTATTTGCCATGGCTAGCCTTAATCTAACTCTAATATTTAGTTTTCCCCACTCTTGTATTTTTATGAGTCTTCTCTCTATAATTCTCATGAGCCTTTCATTTTGTTTGTAGACATTTCTTTTCTCCACCTGATTTCTGAGAATTTGATGAGACATTCTAAGAAGCTATCATATCATATCCTATTTTATTTATTTTTGTATTCAGTTTCAGTTGTAAGCCTCTGTCTCTGGTAGATTGATTTTTGGACATCCTAAGAAGCTTTTATATCCTATTTTATGTTTTTTGTATACAGTTGCATGTCTTTGTCTCTGGCAGCTTGATTTTTTACTTTGTTGTCTATATTATTCTAATTGGTTGGTAGTTTGTCTTGTTAGATTTGTATTTCTTCTTATGCATCACACTCATTTAAACCATTTTCCTTCAAACTTTTTAATCTGAATGTTATTTTCTACTTTCCCCTTTCCTCCATTTTAAGTTTATGATGTTGTGTTGAGTTGAAAACCTGTTACTTCCATGTCCTCAAGATGGTTGATAAGATTCTCTATTAACAATATATATCATGCAGCTAGGATAAATTAACGAGTTTTTTCTTTCCTTAAGCTCTTAATTGCACTTTTTTTTTTTTTCTGAACAGCCTAATTGCGAATTAAATGTCTGTTTGATGCTGATAAAAAAAATGTCTGTTTGATATATTACACTAATCCTTAAAGCTATAAAAAAAATGTGGAAAATGAAAAATCTAAGGCCATCACTGAGAAGACATTTTTGCGGAGGGAAACTGAGTACTACATAACATGCTTTTGACATTTTTGCAACAAAAGTGTTCCATTGTTAAATTCAGATTGTGCAAGATAGATATAGGTAAGTCAAGATTGTATACAACCAAAGCAACAGCTAGAGACCATAAATTTCTTTTCTCTTTCCCTTTTTATTCTAATTTCATTTGATCTGTTTATGGCTGTATGTTTGTTCAACTCATACTAGTGATAAAATGATGGAAAGAAGGAACACATCAACTTTTATGCTTTTGTTACCTAACTTGAATATGTTATTTTGCAATGCAGCTATTACTTTATAGGTTGTTTATATTCCCTCCATCCCTATTTAGTTGTCACAGTTTCTATAAATGGATGTCCCAAGTTAGTTGTCAACTTCCATCTTGAAAAATGCATAATATTTTGTTTTCCAACTTTACCCCTATTGCAATTTCATAATGACGACTCCTTTAACAAAAGTTAATAATTACTTCCAACCTTCTCATTAATTGAGTCCCACTAAGGGAAAATATGGAATTTTAACCAATAATAATTGTGTTTTTATGGAATTTGATGACTTTTTTGGTAAGCGTAATAGAAAAAATTATGACAACTAAATAGGGACGGAGGGAGTAATTCCTACCACTGCTAATAGAAGCAGTTATTGCCATAGCAATTGCAAATTCATTTATTATTCTTTTACTGGTAGTTGCAGAGAAGTCAGCAGTCTGAAGAAGTCTTATGGCCCTCCACGAGAGGTACATGTTCAAGTGACACATTCCATGCCACCAGAAAAGATGGAGATTTTCAAATCCTTGAATAATTGGGCTGAAGAGAACATTTTGGTGCTCCTAAAGCCTGTTGAGAATTGTTGGCAACCAACTGATTTTCTGCCATTGCCTGAATCAGAAGGATTCTATGAGCAAGTCAAGGAACTGAGGGAAAGATGCCAAGAGCTCCCTGATGATTATTTTGTTGTATTAGTTGGAGATATGATCACAGAAGAAGCTCTTCCGACTTACCAAACAATGTTGAACACGTTAGATGGGGTCAGAGATGAAACGGGTGCAAGCCTTACTCCTTGGGCAATTTGGACCAGGGCCTGGACTGCTGAAGAGAACAGGCATGGTGACCTTCTCAATCGGTATCTCTACCTCTCTGGACGAGTAGACATGAAGCAAATTGAGAAGACAATTCAGTATCTAATAGGGTCAGGAATGGTAAGATCCTTCTTCTACATTCTTTGCCATGCTAATATTTGATAGGTTACTTGTGAAATAAAAATATCATGCATGTGATGAAAATCTAATTCAAGTAATCTTGGTGTTTATATCATAGAACTGTTGATCATTATCCCTTGCTTTATTTTGTGGCATACTCTGATAATCTCCTATGGCTATGCGGTTCTGGGTTAGCTACGGTGATGGACTGTGCACTGTGCAGTGAGTCCTTATCAAGGTTATTCCTAAAGTGTAAAAGTTTATAATGGTTTCGTTATGGTTATGGCTTATGGTCTAATTTCTTGTTAATGATGATTGTTGGTTTAATTAGTGGTATGGTTTTAGATTGGGTAATGATTTCCCACTGATTGTGCATTCTGAAATGTAGTTGATTATTATCTTTTTGTTTGCCCTTAGGATCCTAAAACAGAAAACAACCCATACCTTGGTTTCATCTACACTTCATTCCAAGAGAGAGCAACATTCATCTCCCATGGGAACACAGCAAGGCTAGCTAAGGAACATGGGGACTTGAAATTGGCTCAGATATGTGGTATCATTGCATCAGATGAGAAACGCCATGAAACTGCTTATACCAAGATTGTTGAAAAGCTCTTTGAGATTGATCCGGATGGCACAGTGTTGGCTTTAGCTGACATGATGAAGAAAAAAATCTCAATGCCAGCCCACTTAATGTTTGATGGCCAGGATGATAACCTTTTTGAGCACTACTCATCTGTTGCCCAACGTATTGGTGTGTACACTGCCAAAGACTATGCCGATATATTAGAATTTCTTGTGGGCAGATGGAAGGTAGAAAAGCTAACAGGTCTTTCCGGTGAGGGCCGTAAAGCTCAGGACTTTGTGTGTGGATTACCCCCGAGGATTAGAAGGTTAGAGGAAAGAGCTCAAGCAAGGGCGAAGCATTCCAATGTTCCTTTCAGCTGGATTTTTGGGAAAGAATTGATTGTTTAATTATGTCCCATCACCTAAGTTATGGTCTTGGTCAATTGCGTCTGATGAAGTACTACAATATGGTACTATCCAGTCTCCTATATCCAATCTTGATTTTGAATCTTCGATGTACCTCTGCATGAGAAGATGCATGGTCTCTGGATTTGGCTATGTTTTAAGATCTTTTCTTTATGTACCTCGTCTTGTGAACAGAATTTTGTGCTTTAATAATTTTATAGGGTATTTATGGAAGGAGACAACTCTATATTTGTATCTTTTTTTTTTTTTAATATATATATATTTATTCATTTATATATATAAGATGTGCAGATAGCTCTGTATTCATTAAAATACATAATAATAGTGAAATTACTATTTAAACCACTCATCTGATGGCCCTCAGCTTTGCAATTCAGTTTGCAAACTAAGCATCAAATTGCAAATCCGCGAACTCTAAAATTATATATGCTCTTAGAATGGTACCCAAATCCATATATATATATATATATATATATATGTAAATGTTCAATGAGAAAGCACAGCAATATTCAAATTCAGCAGCAGCTGAACCCCGAATTTCAGACTTGGAAAGGCCATGGCCAGTCCTTCAAATTCTCCTCCTGCGGCACCTTCGCACTCCTCATTCCCGCAGAACTACCGCCACTGACATCCCCTTCAACGTACGCATAGTACTTCAAGAAGAAAGCCAGAGTAAGCGCCACCCATTCCAAGCAGAAGATCACAACACAAAGCCCACCCGCTAGCTTCAGAATCACTGCCCCATCTTCCTCCCTCACGTATGACTTCAAACTCCCAAGAAAATCAGAAGTTCTGGTGAAAATCAGCACCGACACTGACCCCTGAAATATAGCCGTGAGAACCGTAGCCACCATGTGTGCCGCATACCACCTGTTTGATCCCGAAGAGGCAGCAGTGCAACCCGAAAGTGCCCCCACAACTGTGAGGACGTGGAGGAGGATCAGAAAAACCCCGCAGAGGGAAGGGTCTAAGCGGAGTGCAAGGGTCAGGAAGATGCAACTGGAGGCGGCGCAGAGGAGAATGTAGTTGGAGAAGAGAAAGATCTTGTGGGTATGGTAGTGGGATTGGGTGATTGTGGATTGGGGGATGGTGTCGAGGGAAAGACCCATCTGGGATTTCGATGAACTTAATGAAATTCGATGGATTTTTCAGGTGGGAATGAGTTGAATTCGGATTCTGAACGATGAAGAGAGTGGAGGAAGATCAAATTTCAGGGTAGTTCAGTTTGTAAAGAGGGAAAGGTTTTTGGAGAAGATATAGAGCAGATGTGAAACAGCAGAGTGTGATTCAACGGGCATTTTCTACTCAACGGTCACATTCCCGTTGAAGAGGACCCATGTTTGGTGCACAACGGCTAGTTTTGCTTTGGCTTAATTTATTTTTTGACCTTCTTTTTAGGATTGACTTAATCTCTCTAAATATCCTCCAACCTTAGAAAAGAAGTCATTATCATCCTTTACTTTAGAAGAATTTATAAAAATCACTCAACTTTAGAGGAAGTAAGTATTACTCTCTAATTAATCAATTATTATTTCCTTCAACTTTGCTAGGCATTGTTTTTTTTTTTTTTTTTTTTAAAAAAATTTACCCTTCTATTGTTAAATTGAATAAAATTATCCTTTTATATTTTGGTTAAAATAAATTAATCAAAATTTAATTGATGGTGTAATTAT